TGCCGCGGTCCCGCCGCCCAGGTCCTCCGCGTCTTTGCTCCGCGTCTCCCTGGTCTGCTGGGGGCCCGCCCCCAGCAGACCAGGGAGACGCGGAGCAGCTTTTCTCGCCCCTGAGTACACGGGCGGCAGGACCGCGGCGCGTCTGAGCGGTCCCGCCACCCGCATCCTCCGGGGTGAGAAAAGCCCCGTAAGTGCAGATCCGACATAAGTCGGATCCGCGTAACTCAGGGACTGCCTGTAGATTTAAAATACCACATATCCCAGTTTCATTCAGAATTGTGTATGAGAAGATATCAAAATTTTGTTGAACATTCTTGATTACATTGACTGGTAGAAAGTCACACCACTAAGGGTATGTCTACACTTGCACTCTCGTTCAGACTAGGGATGCAAATGCAGACATTCAAAATTGCTAATGAAGCAGAGATTTAAATATCATGTGCTTCGTTTGCAAGATCTCGCTGGCGCGCTAGTTCGAATCACAGCTGATTCAAAAGTGAAAGTGCACGCCGGGACGCGTTAGTTCGAACCAAACCCCTCGGTGAGGAGTAACGTTAGTTCGAACTGAGGGTTTGGTTCGAACTAACGCATCCCGGCATGCACTTTCACATCAGCTGTGATTCGAACTAGTGTGCCGGCAAGATGTTGTAAACGAAGCACGGAATATTTATATTCCCGCTTCATTAGCAATTTCGAATGCCTGCATTTGCATCCCTAGTCCGAACTAGGGTGCAAGTGTAGACATACTCTTAAGTGTTCAGGATGATACTCATATGATCATCTAAAAGCACTGCTCCCCTCTCAGAAGCATACTAAGATATGACTATTGACACACTGAATTTATTTTAGTAAAGCACGTTACCTTTAGTCCAATTACATTCTGGCCATTAATTTCACACATATAATGCTCTGTAAGAAGTCCATTTCTAGCAGCAGAACTGTCTTTTACTATTGAGGTAACTTTTCCATTTTTGAATATGAAGCCAACATGACCTGTGCTGTCCTTATGCATAGTAAGAGTTCGTTCAAAAGGCCTGCAAGAAATAAGTGCACAACATGAAATTGTTGTACTACAGTCAATAAGTAATCGATATATACTGAAAACTTCCACGAGATTACAATAACCACTAAAACCTGCAGAGCTGTCTGTATATCCCATAATATATTATGTTATATTGTTGATCTACAAGTATTCCTTTTGTCTTAAATGTTTGTTCTGCTAATACCTGTATGATCTTGGGATGCGAATGGGTAGCCTGTTAACTGATTACCCAGTAAGCATCACCCTTAATGGGTGATGCTTACTGAGTAAGTTAACCATTACCCAGAAGCAACCCGCCACAAGCTGCGCAGGCTGGGAGTTGGCAGGCATGTGTGGGGCAAAAGCAGCCAGGGGAGTGAAGGTGCCAACTCAGCCTGCAAGCCTGGGAGTCAGGGGAGCAGCCTCTGCCCATGACACAGGGGCCACTCTGGCCCACTCACCCCCATTTAATCAGTTAACCAGCTAAACTTAACATTTAACCGGAGAGCTAACTAAATGAGATTTTACTTCCCTCTTACTATCCATCTTTTAGCTAAACTATTTATAAAAAAATTACACAGTTTAAGATACAGTACATTTACAGGAGTCAGTTCTGATTAATCAATTTTATAAGTAACTGTTACTTCCATTTTAACTTAAGAATTTAATACAAAATGCAAAAAATAAAGCTTACTTCAATGTTGAAAGATTGGCATTTTAGGTGATTAATATACTCTGAACCCATACATTCAACTATATGATCAAACACCCTGGTATAACCAATTGCTTCACTTAATATTTTAAGCTTCCCTTCCCTCCCCGCACTTTTTTACATACATTCCCCTGTGCCACAAGAAATACATAAATTTCCCAGCCTCTTTAACATATATACATTTACAATTTATATTACATCTTCTTATAAGAATGGATTTGCCTCGGTGTTTTACAAGATAGCTAAAATTTCTTTGGCACATAACACTGGTTAGATCCGTGGTCACCAATCAGTAGATCACGATCTACCGGTAGATCTCAGGGGCTCTAAGAGTAGCTCTTGAGCCCTCTCTGAACTGCGTGCCTGTGCAGTACATTTACATTAGATTTCCTCATTTGAGGAGCAGCTACTCACCGAGCTGGGAGGTTGGGAGAGCTGAAACACCCCAGCCAGCTGACTGTGGCTTTCAGCTGAAAGAGGCTGCCCCGCGCTCCAGCTGATCAGCGGCTTCTCCTCTGCGCCTGCCCACATGGGGCTTGGTGCACCCTAGCTGAGTTCCATGGCCAGCTGGCCGGGCAGCTGCTTCTCTTCCCTCCAGCCTGGCTGCCCCGCACCCCTGCGCTCAGCCCAGGGAGGCTGTGTCTAGCTCCAGCTGGGCTGGAGCAAGCTTCCCAGGCTGAGCGCAGGATCACAGATGCCCATCTGATGGACTGTATACGACTAGCAATCTCAGACTACAACCCAGACTTCAAGACACTGGCAGATACTGTTCAGTCACAGGTGTCACACTGAGACTTTGTTATTGGAAGAAAAAAATATATAATTATCAATACTTGATTTTAGATTTACAAAACAGCAGAGAAAAAAAATGTATAATTGTAAATGCTTCATTTGACATTTAAATAGCATGAATTAAAAACAGACCATTTATTTCATAACTATAAAACATGTGATTTTAATTTTATATATTGCATAATTTAAAAATAAACTGTTTAACAGAGTGTATAAGGGCTGGGGATAGCAAGTGATGGACAGAATAGAGAGGGCGGGGCTTCAAGGAAGGGGCGGGGCTGTAGAGCTTCGCCTGTTCTGAGACTTAAAAAGTGATCTTGGGTGTAAAAAGGTTGGAGACCACTGGGTTAGATCATTAGCCTCTATTCTGGAGACCTAATACTCGCCCACAAAATTGCACTGGTGTGTTTTAAAATCAGTTTAAAGTTAACCACTTAGCTTAACCATTTAGTTAAACTAACAAGTGTAAAAACCCCACTAATTAAAATGGCACAAGTTTGTCTTGCTAAAGAGTAACTACAAAGCTTTCCAATATGAAAATTAAGATAAATGCCTACAGTATTTTGGTATTGATATTTAAAAACAGAAAGGGCTATCCTTGCAAATGCACAAAATACATAGCCACGTGGGGCACAAAACTACCCCAAATTTCATGGTGCCTTATGCAGGTAAGTGATGGATATGGGACTCTAGAGGCCCCAAGTCCCATGCCTCTGGTGGCTATGCACATTTGTGGGCTCAGCAGCCCTCTTCCCCATCCCCGCAGCTGCCCCCTGTGGGCTGTGCCAACACCAGCCCCTAGCCCAACTGCCCCCCTTTGGGGTTGCGCCAAGCCCCAACTCTCAAGGTGGCAGTAAGTGGCGGGAGCACAGGCCCGAGAACTCAGGAGGAGCAGGTGGAGAAGCCATGGAGCTGGTGGCCAGAGAGAAACAGTGGGTTCCCCTTCAAAGCACTGCTGCTCTCCAGCTGGCAGTGCAGCTACCCTCTGCAGAAAACTCTATCAGGTCTGAAGAGTTGGCAACTGCAGCTTTTACCCCCACATCTTATCCTCTCCCCTCTACTCTGCGGAGCAGCTGCTCCCCCTGCAAAGAGTGTGGTCACCAACAATGGGTAGGAACGGCCCTAAAGACATATTTTAAGGCAAAAATCTTGGAAATATTTGAGTGCTAATGGCTTTACCATCAGTAACTCAGAGCCTTAACTCAGGACTAGACAGAGATAGCAAAGGAAGCTGTCTAAGATACATGTGTACTTTTTTTCATTCAAAAGCGGTCTGGACAGATATAGCAAAAACCTAAGTAGAATTACATTGGCAAGAAATTTTGCATACTTCCTGTCCGAGACAGTTAGCCCTTACCAATGCCAGAATCTTAAATTAACAAATTTATTCATGAAATATTAGACATAAAAAGGAAGTTTCTGGAAAACTTAGATTAGGCCTGTCGATTAATCACAGTTAATTCACATAATTAATTTTAGTTAATCATGATTTTAAAATTGTGATTAATTGCACCATTAAATAGAATGCTAAAAAAATGTGGTTGTTCTTTTACATTTTCAAATATATTGATTTCTATTGTGTACAGTGCTCACTTTTTTATTATAAATATTTGCACTGTAAAAATGATATAGTATTTTTCAATTCAGCATACAAGTACGGTAGTCCAGTTTCTATCATGAAAGTTGAACTTACAAATGCAGATTTTGTGTTTTATAAATGCACTTAAAGCAATGGAAAAAACTTTTTTGACTGTACAAGTCTACTCAATCCTGGTTTTTGTTCAGCCAGTTGCTAAAACAAACAAGTTTGTTTACGTTCATGGGAGACACTGCTACCTGCTTTTTATTTACAATGTCACCTGGTAGTGAGAAAAGGAGTTCACATGGCACTTTCGTAGCCAGCATTGCAAGGTATTTATGTGCCAGATATGCTAAACATTCATAAGTCTCTTCATGCTTTGAACACCAAAAGTGCCATGTGAACTCCTGTTCTCATTTTCAGGTGACACAGTAACTAAGAAACAGGTAGCAGTATCTCCTAAAAACTGTAAACAAACTTGTTTGTCTGAGCCATTGGCTGAACCAAACGTAGGACTGTGTGGACCTGTAGGTTTTAAAGTTTTACAGTGTTCTATTTTTGAATGCCTAATTTTTGTTTACATAATTTTAGATTTATAAATTCTACTTTCATGAGAAAGAGACTGCATTACATTACTTGTATAAGGTGAATTACAAAATGCTATTTCTTTTGCTCTTACAGTGCGTAAATTTTTAATAAAAAATAAAGCGAGCACTGTACATGCTGTATTGTGTGTTGTAATTGAAATATTTTAAAATGTAAAAAATATCCAAAAATATTTAAATAAATGGTAGTCTATTAATAGTGCAATTAATAGTAGTCACTTGACAGCTGTAACAGACTAAGCAATTTGGGGCAGACAGTCTGTTATATGTGTTTGGTGCTTAAACACAGAGGAATCCCATGCTTTAGATGCTAATTCAATACAAATAAATAATAACGAACAGTTACTTTTTATTTACACTTGATAGTTTTACCTGTCACGAATGATCATCGAAATTCTCTCGCCCGAAGCCTGCTTCAGAACTTTATGAGATTTATCAGAGCTCCATCCTGCACAGTTTTCACCATTAATTTGCAGAACCTGGTCCCCAAACCTCAGACCAACTAAAGATGCTGGAGAGTTGGCTTGTACTAACTGGACAAATATTCCCTAAAATGGAGTGATAAATACAAATCATTATTCTTGATTAACAACAATTAGAAAAAGTTTCCAATGCCCATTACATAAAATAAACATAAACAGCAAACAGGAGAAGGGTTTGAACAACTGCTCCTTTTAAAACCATTAAGAGACAGCAAGGGAAGGGGAGCGAGAGCTGGTGCCTGTGAGGAGCTTGCTTTAAGCAGGGTCCCCACAAGCACCAGTTCCGCCTGCCCCACTCCCACTCCCGCGCTTCAGCATGAAGGGTGATGGGGACAGGGTGGAGCTGATATATGAAGGGAGCTGGCTTTCAAGCCAGCTCCCTGTGTGTATCGGTTCCCGCGGATCCGCCTGCCTGCAGAGACAGCGAGGGGAGGCAGGCAGGCATCGATGCTGAGGGGAGCCAGCTTAAAAACTGGCTCCCCCTCAACACCACAGCACCAGCTCCACAGTGCCACCTCCTCCCCACTCTGGGGAAGCACGGGGTAGGGGAAGCTGGACCGCAGCAGTAGCCCCTGTCCATGGGGGGAGGAATTGTGTCCAAGCTCTCCATGATAGGGACTTTTACTGTAGAGCAGCCTCCGTCTGCAGCGGGCCTAGGTTCACTGAGGACAGAAGTTGCTCTGTTTGATGCCGGAGCAGACCCTGTCCCTGTCTGGTGTGGTCTACTTTGGAAAGACCCTAAGGCTTTGTCTGCATTGGGAAATATCCCACTTAACAATGCTTCAGCTCTACAGGTTTTAGCAGTGTTGTGTACCTCAGCAAAGGTGGGGTTTGGTATCAGTGTATCAGAGGCAGCAGCGTGGGACAGCAGGCACCTAGTCTGCACAGGGAGCTGGTTTTTAAACTGGCTCCCCTCGCGGATCAGGTCCCGCCTACCATCCTGCACTGCTGACTCACTGGCTTCCGGCCCCATCCCGGAGACCATCAGTTGTGTAACTGCTATAATTTCATGGGGTCACACGACCATTCAATTACACAATATCTAACATTCCTAGTCACCACACAGGAGAAGAAGAAAAGCATACTTTGGTGTTACTCTTCATAGATTATATAAGCCAACTCTGAGCTTCACTTTCCCTAATGTTCCCCATCAGTGGTATATTATACTAATCCGCAGGCACTATCCAGCGGTTAGTAGCACTAGAAATTAAATCATGATGTGTTACCCTGCAAGTTTATGCATGAAAACTAAAGCTACTGAGCTCGTGACAAAAACACCAATTAACAAATATCACAGCTGATAACTTAAGTGTTCAACATTTGTATTTACCATATAAAAAAGGCGCTATGTGTAAACTTGGGTACTAAATGTACATAATGCTGGTTGCTTCTATACATTTTATATATAGAAGTAACTCATTACATAACACTTGAATTTAGATATGTAATCTATTAGTATATTATGAAAGTTACAGAAGACAAAATACTAACTATAGATAAACAGATACTAGAAATATTATGCACCGGATAGAAGTTTATCCCATTTTGTATTTGACTCAAATTACATGCCTTTGCATCAGCAACTTGATACTTCCATACAATCATTTCATTTTTGATTGGACAGTATTCTACAAAAGAAAGACAATTAAGTTTCCATATCCTTACATTGTCTATGGATTTAAGGCGAAGTCCAATTTTTCCATCCTGATCCTTACACATAATTACTTCACGGATGCCTTGTTTAATTTCTGCTCTGCGAATTCCAATATCATTTCCAGTTACTGGAGCCACCATGTAATTCACAGTGGAAGGCCTTGTTACCAACTGCTGGTGATGAAAAACCACATAATATCAAAGTACTGAGAACAGCAATTTGTGTAGACATCTGAACAAGACATAGCAGTCCAAATGGAATCACAATTTCACACAAAGGAAATTTTAAGATGTTTTACTACTAGTTACATTTGGGGAGTACAATTTTCGAGGTTTAGTGAAGATTTCTTTATACAAAGTTCTTACTTAACATCTCACTTTCAACCCTTTAATTTTATTTTAATAATAAACCTTTAGATGTTAGATTCTAAAGGATTGGCACAGTGTGCTCTTTTGGGTAAGATTCAAGGTATAAATTGATCTGGGACTGTGGCTGGTCTTTTGGGACTGGGAGAACCTGTTCGGAGTCTGTGAAATTGGTTTTATAACCTCTCACATGTGCAAGGTGTGGTGCTGCTTGCAGCACAGGGAATGCTGGGGTGTCTAAGGGGATTTTCTTGTGAGACTTCTTGCTGGCCAAATTAGCAGCCAAAGTGCTCTGTGTGACTGGTTTGGCACCTTTTAGAGAAGGACCCCAGCCCTGCTTCTGAGCAATTTACCCAGATTTGACCCTCTCAGCGGTGCCCAAACCAACTCATAATATTTCAGCATCTTGAAATCATGAATCCGTCACTGATTAACTATAGTAATGGCCAGAAGAATAAAAGACTAAATAGAATATGCAGAGACCTATCTTTGAAGAGCAAGGTATTTTGTTAATGCATAGGCACTGTTTTTTAAAGGCCGGGTTTACTTGAATAGTACCTACCCCCTGAGATTGTGCATCAGCAACCATTGGTAAGTTTCCCTGTATCTCCTCTTCATTAAGACTCAGGCCCATATACTGAGAAAGTTCTGGGTATAGTCTAGGATAGAGGCCTAGTGAAATAAAAAATTCAAATAAATTATTCATTATTTATAATATAGAAAACATCTAGTATTAGTAAAAGAACGGTTACTTACCTCGTAACTGTGATTCTTCGAGATGTGTTGCTCAAGTCCATTCCAATACAGGTGTGTGCGTGCAGCGTGCATGCGCCGTTGGAAGTTTTTCCCTCAGAAGTACTCTTAGGGCCAGCAGGGAGCCCCCTGGAGTGGTACCAGTATACCAGTCCATATATACCTCTGTTGGCCCCCTCATCCACTCAGTTCCCTCTTACCGGCATATTCCAGATAAAGGGTGGTGGACGGGGATTTGGAATGAACATGAACAACACATCTCAAAGAATCACAGTTACGAGGTAAGTAACCGTTCTTTCTTCTTCGAGTGATTGCTTATGTGCATTCCAATATAGGTGACTCCAAAGCAGAACCTAAAGAGGAGGGCTGGAGGATGAAACGACACCGGAGTGGAGGACCGCTCTATCCAGGGCAGCGTCCCCTCTGGCCTGATGCGACAGTGCATACTGGTTCGCAAACATATGTACAGAGGACCATATGTAGCGGCCCTGCAGATGTCCAGGATGGGAACCTGTGCTACAAAAGCAATAGAAGCGGCCACCGCCCTCGCAGAGTGTGCTCTAAGAGGCGGGGCTGAAACGTCTGCCAGGGGTGTAGCACTCCCTGATGCATGCGGTTATACAAGAGGCCATGTGCTGGGTGGACACAGGTTGGCCCCTCATGCACTCTGCAATAGCCACAAAAAGTTGTGGTGACTTTCGGAATGGTTGGGTCCTGTCTAAATAAAAGGCTAGCATCTTACGGATGTCTAGAGCGTGTAAAGCTTGCTCTTTCCCAGATGTGTGCAGTTTGGGGTAAAAAACAGGCAGGAAGACGTCCTGGGAGGTGTGGAAGGATGACACCACCTTAGGCAGGAAATCTGGGTGAGGGCAGAGCCAAACCTTATCCTTAAAAAATACCGTGTGTGTGGGAGGCGGGGGGGATCTGATGTTAGTGCTCTGAGCTGAGATAGTCGCCTGGCAGAAGTGATCGCCACCAAGAGAGCCACCTTATAAGATAGGTGGAGGAGGGAGCATGTCACTAACGGTTCAAACAGGGGTCCCATAAGTTTGAAGGAACCAGGTTTAAGTCCCACTGGGGTATGGGCTGACGGACACGGGGATAGAGCCTGTCCAGCCCCTTCACGAACCTATTGACCATTGGATTAGCAAATAGGGTTTTCCTCCCTAACCCCGGGTGGAAGGCCGAGATAGCTGCCAGGTGAACCTTGATGGAGGAGGAAGAAAGATGCTGAAGCCTAAGGTCCAACAGGTAATCTAGGATCAGGGGGATTGGGACCCACCTAGGATGCACCCCCTTCTGGGAGGCCCAACAGAAGAACCGCTTCCACTTAGCCAGATACGAGGCCCTGGTAGAGGGTTTTCTGCTACCCAGGAGGACCTCCTGAACCCGTTCAGAGCACTGGAGCTCCTTAGCCATTAACCACGGAGCTTCCACGTCGTCAGGTGCAGCAATTACAAGTCCGGGTGACGAAGCCTGCCCGAGTCCTGGGATATCAGGTCCGGGACCAGCGGGAGGGATGCGGGCCACTAGCAGGAGAGGCTGAGGAGAGTCGAAAACCAATGTTGCCTGGGCCATGCCGGGGCAATTAGAATCAGGGACGCCCTGAACTCCCGCACTTTCAGGAGGACCCTGTGTACTAACGGGAAAGGCAGGAAGGTGTACAGCAGGACTCGCGGCCAAGGGAGGAGGAGAGCATCTCCTAAGGAACCCTGCTCCCTAATCCACGAGGGAGCAGGAGCGCGGGCACTTCTTGTTCTGCTCGGTGGCAAACAGGTCCAGGTGGGGAGAACCTCACGCGAAGAAGATGGAATGGGACACATCCCAGCACAGGGACCACTCATAACCTGCAAATGATTTGCTCAGCCTGTCCGCCAGGACATTCTGGTAATCTGGGAGATAGGAGGCCATCGGGTGGATGTTCGTCCCGATGCAGAGGTCCCACAGGTGGATTGCTTCCAAGCACAGACAGGGGGAGTGGGCCCCGCCCTGCTTGTTTATGTACTCCACCACTATCGTGTTGTCCAAGAGAACTTGCCCCACACAAGCCAGTCGGACTGCCTGGAGCTCCCTGATGTTGATATGCATAGAGATCTCGTCCACAGACCACATACCTTGCATGTGGAGGTGTGCTAAATGAGCTCCCCAGCCCGTGTCCATGATCAGTCAGATGGATGGCACTGGTCTGGAGATCAGAATCCCTGTACTGTTTTGTTGATGGGTAGAGCCACTCTAGAGGGGGTATCAGCATGGAGGATGTTAATGGTAGGATCCGAGTCGTCGGAAACCTTCTCTGCTTGAACTCCCAAACTTTGGGCCAGTCGGCGAAGAAAATCCTGATGGACTCTAGCATCCATGGAAGGCATGGACGGGATGGAGTCGGCTAACGCTTTGTCCGGGGAGGAGGACGATGACCCCTTTTAGACCTCACCCACAGGAGCGTCCTCACAACTTGGATCATCCAGGCTATCAATGGACAAGGAGGGGGGAGGTTGGCTCACCAGAGCCGCGCTCTACCCTAGACCCAGGGATGACTGTACCAGAGGTAGGGAACGTCCCGAAGTGGGGGACCTGACCAAAGGCATCGTCGATGGAGGAACTAGTGGTCCTGAGGAGACAGAAGCTGGTATAAGTGGGTCCGTGCCCTGGCTCTGGTGGTAAGCCCAGGGAGTCCAGAAGGGCCATTGCCCCAGAGGCTGAGGAAGCCATGTTTGCACCATGGGCACCGGAAGCAACTGAGTCCACTGCTGCTGATACGGGAGTGGACTACGGTGCCTGGAACGCTGCCAAGAGTGGGAACAGCACCGTGAGCGAGACCCAGATGCCCTCGAGGACCGGACAGATTCCGCCTCGGAGTCAGACGAGTACGCCGAGGCGGACCAGGGCGGAGCCAGTGTGGAGAGAGTTGTGGTGCGCCAAGACATGGCTTGCTGAAGTGCCAAGGCAGTGGAGGAGGCATGGCTGCGCAGGAGTCCTGCATGGAGGTAGGTGCCGACAGTCCCCAGGGCAATGACGGCACCGGGTGATGCTGCCGCGCTGAGTCCTGTGCTGTGTCTTTGGCCGGTGCCGGAGGAGTCGGTGCTTCGACTGTCGGTGCCGCGTGCGGTGCCGTCGGGGTCTGGCAATGTCTACCCTCCTGTCCAACGCCCTTGGTCGCTCCGGGAGGCAATCGGTGCCGAGTGTCCCCGTGCCACCTAGGGGGTGCCGAAGTCGGAGGGGGAGGGAAGAGAGAGGACTCAATTAGAATCCTCGCTGCCTCCAAGGCCTTTGGCGTGGGTAGCTCTGGAAAGTCCTCCGGAGGGCTGATGTCCCCTCGCTGGGAGGCAGGCCCGCCCGACCTAGAAGGCCTGGGCACAGGGTTTGTCGGCGCTGCATACCCCACTGGAGGGCGCACGCCTAGGCGTGGACCGACCCCTGTCAGGCCGCCTCTTCTTCTGAGGTGCCGGCGATTGAGAGCGGTGCTGGAGAAGCACGGTGCACGGAACCGTTGCGCACCGATGCCAGTGCGCTCTGGGAGGCTGGTGCCGAGTCCAGTGCTGGTCGGAGAGCCGCTTCCATGAGGAGGATCTCAAGTCGCGACTCCCTCTCTTGTTTTGTCCTGGGCTTGAAAGCCTTACAGATTGTATAGGCTTCTGTAAGGTGTGCCTCTCCCAGACACTTTAGACAGGAAGAGTGCAGGTCACCGCACGGCATAGGCCTATTGCACCGTTTGCAGGGCTTGAAGACTTGCAGGCTGGACATGACCTGCCATGGGCACACCGTGGCAGTGAACACCACCAAAAACAAAGAAAAGAAAGAAACGAATAAAAAGGGGTCTCTAACTTAAATTGCAGGCACTTAGCTGCAGATTAACTACAAGGAAAGAAGAACAATGAAGACAACGATCACGTTGAGGAACTGAGGATTGTTCCAAGGACCGTCACAGCTGTAAGAAGGAACTGAGTGGATGAGGGGGCAACAGGTATATATGGGCTGGTATACCAGAGCCACTGCAGGGGACTCCTTGCTGGCCGTAAGGGTACTGCTGAGGGGAAAACTTCTGACGGTGCATGCACGCTGCATGCACTCACCTATACTGGAATGCACATGAGCAATCACTCAAAGAAGAATAAGCATTGACTGATTTACTTGAAAAATACTGCAGATTACGTTCCTACTGGCTACTTCTCTGTTCCAATACTTTACCTCAAGGCAACAATGACAATGAACTATGCCTTTGAAAGCACATGCAATATCATCCACTAGAAAAACACTGCTATTTCATCACCTATCTTAAGGTACTTGCCTACTTTTACATAAAGCACTCTCCATTGTTGAGGTCATGTTTAGCCTTTTTTAAATCCTAGCACAATCTATTTCAAACCATTTTTTAGTTTCCATGATTCATAAAAACAAGGGTGAAGTTATTTATCATCACAGAAATGAGGTGAGAAACCACTTCAGACAGACAGAGACTGTGCTCTGGAAATCTGAGCAGAAGACATAAGCTTCAGTCTTCTCTGGCTTGAGAGGAAGTGGTTGGGAAGGAGGGACCATTTCCCTTTCACCCCATTCTCAGGACAGTGAGAAGGACTGCACTGAGAGGGATCTAGGTTGGATAGGCATGCACATGATGCAAGGGAGCAAAGAATCAGATCGATAGTTCGCTCAGGGACCGAATTTTGCTTTTTATAGTAGGTTTTAAGTGTTTCGTTGTATTAAGTGATTAATATAGTTCTGCTTTCAGTAGTATCAGCTCACAAACATGTCTTTGTAGTTGTTCTAACATAATTCACATCTTACAGCCATCTGAAACTGAGGTACACAATCCACTTTATAAGATAGTGTTTGGCCAAGCCACACTTTCCTGAGGGGAAAAAAGCCTATAGAAGAATCATAAAGCTAGTAGTTCTGTGAAATAGTAACATTAAGGGAGCAGAATGTGCTCTCCCCCAGAGCAAACAGGTGTTATATATGGCAAAAAATGGAAGGAGTCATTGCTTTATTACAATAACAAGAAAAAAAGGTTTTGTTGAAAGTGGTATGAAATATTTTACTATTGAGTCATTGGAGGTCATTGGAAATTTCAGAAAAAAAATGATTTTTTTAACAGTAAGAACTGTTCAAAGATACTTAATGCTTAATAGTTTAAAGCCATAAAGACAATATTCCACTATATTAGCCAAAAAGTCAGTTTTA